TCTCTATCTTCTGAAGTCGTAGCAGTTCTCATTAGCTAGAATACGTTGATTTGAGTTGCATACCAAATGAGTCAGGTTCCTTATCTGGCTCTTTGACAGTAAGTTTGTTAGATCATCAAAACACAAGGCTAAGGCATTGTAAACCCATCAATTTCCCCCTTTTGGATGATGACAAACTTAAAAATTGATAACACATGTTTAGAGCAAGACTATTCAGATGAAGTAACAGGAACTTCATAAGTTCCCCCTGCCTTTATACTACCCCCTTAAACAGATCCCTGTTTTCCCAATTATACACATGAAGTCTAGTTCCCCCCTTACGTTATACTTCCCCTTTTTGGCATCATAAAAAATACACTAGCAGGTAATTAGCATAAAGAAGTCTAGCATAGCTAACTCATGCCACATATGTACACACAATAGATAGAAAAGAGAAACAGAGAAGCATAAGCATTAAACAACAAAAAGAGGATAGTTTTTTTATAAAACATATGCCTTTGCTATACAACAAAGGCAGAAATTGGACTGATTTCAGTGGGTGCAGTACAAGTACATCCCATCCAGACCACAAAAAGAAACAAAAAACAAACAACAACTGCCAATGTCAACAAAACAAGAACAAAATTAATCCAGAAACTGGTCATTGAAGGGTTGCCTAAGGGACACTAGGAAGAGAAGGCTTGGAGGCTGCAGCAAGGGTATTGAGAACTAGATCTATTCGGGCATTTGCCGACGTTTGCTCGGTGAGGAGTTTCTCCTTCAGGTTCTCCACTTGTGCGCTGAGATCAGCATTTTGCCTTTGTCAGACGAGCTATCTCCTCATTTGACCCTGGACCCCCTTGGGCCTGCTGACCTTACAATATGGCATTCCTTGCCTTCAACCTTCGAATCTCCTCAGTTGCATGGTTTTGATCATTGATGAGCTGAGAGATTGTCGAAGTGCTGCCAATTCCTACATTTTTTCGATACACTCACATTCCTCCAAAGTTGTTTGAGAGAAGGTCTGCTTCTTGGTCCGTACTTTGAACTGTCCTAATGGAACTTTGAAGAACTTAAAAATGGGAGTAAGAAGAAACCCATATGGAAGACCATGGTTTCCATCCTTGAAAGTCGCCACCTTCTGCATATGCTCAATCATGATGACAGGCAACTCTACAGCTTTAAACCCATCCAGTGCTTCCATCAGATACAAGTCAGATATGGAACTAATGGACCTTCTCTCAGCACGCGGTAGAAGAACCTTGTTCACCAACTCGAACAATAACTGATAAATAGGAAGCAAGGCTTTCTTGTGAACCCGTTCTCCCTGCTGGGCTGCACCTTCCTTCACAATAGCATTCTTGAAATTTGACCAGCAGACATTCTTCACAGAAGATTTACCAGCAACAGGGACCTTAAGAATATCTCCAAGCAAGGTGGCATCCAACACAATATCCACTCCATTAACCAAGGCACAGATATGGTCAGTGTCAACAGGAAAAAGTCGGCATAGAAGCTTTGGACCTCATTCTCATGGACCTTGGGCACATCCACTTGGAACAGATGCCCCCACCGTTGAAACTCGACCATTTCAATTACTTGTCTCATTCGGGCCATTTTAGATATTGCTAGGTCAAAAGTGCGACCCCACAAGACCTTTTGGTTCCTCAGTCGTTCTATAGCAGACATACCCTCACCCTTCACTTTCTTTGCAGAATCAGGTTCCCTCACAGTTTCAAACTTCCTCTTTCCAGACTTCACATTCGATTTTCCTTGTCCACTAGACTTGTCCAACACATCCTCATCAGAAAATACTGGTTCACTCACAACATCTTTCAACTTTCCACCACTTTTTGCTAATCTTGAACTGGTGTAGTAACATCTTCCACTGAAGCAGATTGCTTTTTCTTCTGGGACCTTTTAACCAAGGAACTGGGTTCCTCTATTTCTTCCTCATCAACTTCTACCACAGGAATGTCCTTGTCATATACTACTTCTCCATTTATCACCAACCTCTTCTTTTTCTTCTTACTGCTCCTTTTGCTCTTTTGTAGTGCAGACTCATAAGCCTCTTTTGCTTGTAACCTAGTAGTAGGTCGCTTAGCAGAGGACTCAGGAGAGGCTATTGCCTTTCTTCTGACAATAAAAGCATCCAAAGGAACATTATCTTGATCTTCTACATCACTAGACTTCATCTCAGGAACCAAGATTTCCGAGGGCTCAACAGCAAAGTTTGGAGAGGGAGCAGGGGCAAAACTGACCTGGGAAGAGGATCCTTGATCTTTTTCCTCTATAGAGGTATTAGGTCCTTCACGAGCAGTTCCAATAGTTTTTGCCAGTGCAGAGTTTTCAAAAAGCACCAGAGCTCCTTCTTCCAATGACCCTTGTGTCTCATTCCTCTGAGACTCAGGCACACCAGAGATCACCTCATACATTATTCCATCAGCAGATATGACCAGTACATTTTTGACAGCCTCTTTCTCTAGAGACTCCATGGTTACCATAGACTTAGAAGTAGAAATACTGTAGACTGATCAATACTCACCTCTGAGGCTTCAACTATCTGCGGAATCTTACCCTGTTCTCTACCGTTGCTTTGGTCGGTGAGAATCTCAGGCGATAGGAACGAAGGATTATTGAAGGTTGAGATTTATGAGTTCTCAACATTTTGAAGGGGAGAGAGGTCTAAAAGAGTCGAACTAGAGGGATTGTGAGAATCTGGGTTGGAAGTGTCTTCACCAATGGTGGTTGAGACAGGGATGGTGAGAGACGGCTTTTTAAAGATGGATGAATGAAGGGTTTTCTCTGGGGTTTTCTCAACTAAGGAGGGGATCATTGATTGATTTTCAGCCATGGCAAGGATGAAGTAGAGAATTTTGGAGAAGGACTGAAAAGAGAGATGTGGTCGTTCAAGAAGAAGAGAGGGTTTTAATGGGAGAAGAGATAATTATGAGAGAGAGAGAAAGGAACCGGTTCTGAAATGACGGTAGATATGTGGGGAGTTGCAACGTTTCAGAGGGAGATGAAAGGATTTGAAATGAAAAGACGTGACATACAGGGTCTGAAAAGGTAGGTGACATGGCAATCATTTTTTGCATCTTTTTAAGATATGTATGAGAAGGCACAAGACTACTAACTTGTGGTACAAGAACCAGGTTCTTTCAATCCTCTTTTACCATCCATGCAGTGCATCTACAACTTCTATAATCATTATGCGTGTCTACCTGCAATGGTATTAAAGTGATTTAAACTTGGCCGGAAAACACTCTAGCTAATGTTACCTAAAAGTGACTTTCATAGCCAACTGATGGGAATCAGGTTCTCAATTGGGCTTTATTAGTCCACACCTCCAGCCTATTTCTCTCAAAATGTTCTCTGCTCAGTGCTTTGGAAAAGATATCTGTAATTTGGTCTTCTGTACTGCAAAACTTCATGCAGATAAGCCCTTTCTCCATATTGCCTCTCAGAAAATGATGTCTCACATAAATATGCTTGGTTATTTTGTGGTGAACCGGGTTCTTGGCCATGTTGAGTACACTGGTGTTGTGACATAGTAGAGGCACACAGTTAGTGTACACACCAAAATATTCCAATTGTTATTTGATCCATAAGAGCTGAGCATAGCAGGAATCTGCAGCAACATATTCTACTTCAGCTGTTGAGAGAGCTATTGAGTTTTGGTTCCTTGTGCCCCATGAGATGAGACATGATCCTAGAAAATGAGCCATTCTAGAAGTACTTTTCCTGTCCACAAGGTATCCTGCATAGTTAGCATCAACATACCCAATAAGATCAAAATTATCACCTAAAGGGTAGTACAGGACCAGGTCTTGTGTTCCCTTAAGATATCTCAGAATTCTTTTGGCAGCTTTCAGATGAGATTCCTTGGGGTTTGATTGAAACCTTGCACATAGCCCCACACTGAAGACAATATCAGGTCTACTGGCAGCCAGGTAGAGAAGAGACCCAATAATGTCTCTATAAATGGTTTGATTCACAGGAGAGCCAGATTCATCCATGTCCAGTCGAGTAGCAGTAGCAATGGGAGTATCAATTACTTTTGATGCTTCCATATCAAACCTCTTCAGAAGCTCCTTGATGTATTTCTGCTGGCAGATGAATGTACCATTTGTGGACTGCTTCACTTGAAGACCCAGGAAGAAATTCAACTCACCCATCATGCTCATCTCAAACTCACTTCCCATGAGTTTGGCAAATTCTTCACACAGTGCATCAGTTGTTGCCCCAAAAATGATATCATCAACATATACCCAAACGATGAGCAGGTTCCTTCGTCGTTTCTTCAAGAACAAGGTGTTGTCAATTTTTCCTCTTGTAAAACCATTTTCTAAGAGAAATTTTGACAGCCTTTCATACCAAGCTCGAGGAGCTTGCTTCAATCCATACAGTGCCTTGTCCAATTTAAACATATATTCAGGGTGTTCATGACATTCAAACCTTAGAGGTTTCTTTACATAGACTTCTTCCTTAAGAAATCCATTCAGAAATGCACTTTTGACATCCATTTGGAACAAAGAGAATTCCATATGTGATGCAAAGGCAATTAGGATTCTGATAGCTTCCATGCGAGCAACTGGAGCAAACGTGTCATCATAATCAATTCCTTCCTCCTGATTGTAACCTTGAACCACTAGCCTAGCCTTGTTCCTTGTAGTGTTTCCATGTTCATCAAGCTTATTCCTGAAAACCCACCTGGTTCCTATGATGGTTCGATATGAGGGTTTTGGTACCAGGTGCCGTACATTGTTCCTTTTGAGCTGATGCAACTCATCTTGCATGGCAGTGATCCAGTCTGCATCCTTTAGGGCTTCCTTGATGTTTTTGGGTTCTATTTGGGAAAGAAAGGCTGAGAAGGCAAGTGAATTTATGGCTTTTGATCTGGTTTGTACTCCTGAATCTAGAGGGGTGATTATGTTATCAAGAGGATGGGAGATTTTGTGTTTCCAGTTGGGCACTTGAATCTCATTCGTAGAGGAGCTAGGTAAGTCTGACTAGTTTTCTTACATTCTTCTCTCAGCAACCTGTGGAGTACCTTGAATTGCATCAACCACTCTTTCTTCAGCTTTAGTGGTTGCGATTGTGGCACCTGGTTCCTCTCCAGCTGAAGAAACTCCATTATCTTCACTTGGCTCCTTTACTTGACTCATCATGTCTGCCTTTCCGTTTGCCATATCTATGACTTCACCTGGAACTGACAAAGGCTCTCCATCTTGAGCACCCTTGTTACTTCTCTCACAAGAAAGATAGGACTCGGGACTCGTCAAAGATTACATGTACACTCTCCTCTACACACTGAGTTCTCTTATTGTATACCTTGTACGCTTTACTTTGAGAGGAATATCCCAAGAAAATTCCTTCATCACTTTTGGCATCGAATTTTCCAAGCTGGTACTTTCCATTGTTGAGAACATAGAATTTGCACCCAAATGTTCTTAAGTGAGTCAGCTTGGTCTTCTTCCATTCAGCAACTCATAGGGAGTTTTGTTCAAGAGAGACCTGATCATGCACCTGTTTACCAAGTAGCAGGCAGTGTTAACAGCTTTAGCCTAGAAGTTCTTCGCTATCCCACTATCGATCAGCATTGTCCTTGCCATTTCTTCAAGAGTTCTATTCTTTCTTTCCACAACTCCATTTTTCTGTGGAGTTCTGGGGGCGGAGAAGTTATGGGTAATGCCATTCTCGTTGCAAAAATCATCAAACTTGGCATTGTCAAATTCTGTCCCATGATCTGATCTTATGCAGGTTACTTTTGAATCCATCTTCACCTGAATTTTCTTCACAAATGCTACAAAAACTTCAAAAGTTTCATCTTTTGTTCTGAGGAACAAGGTCCAAGTGAATCTCGAATAGTCATCCACTATCACAAAAATGTATCTTTTTTCTCCTCTACTTTGCACTCTCATAGGCCCACATAGATCCATGTGAAGGAGATCAAGTGGTTTTGAGGTGCATACATCCTTCTTTGGTTAAATGAAGATTTCACATGCTTCCCTCTGGCGCAGGCATCACAAACTTTGTGCTCCATGAACTTTGATTTGGACAGACCACGAACCAGGTCCTTCTGAACTAGCTTATTCAGTAGAGAAAAGCTTTCATGCTCCAGTCTTCTGTGCCATATTTCAGCATCATCATCAACAACTTTCAAGCAACTCAGATCACCACTTTGTAGGGATTCAAAATCAGCAACGTAGATGTTCTTGTATCTTTTGGCCACCAGTACCGCTTCACCCGTTACTACATTAGTAACTGTGCATATTTTTGACAAGAAATCCACCTTGTTTCCTTTATAACATATTTGAGAAATACTCAAGAGACTGTACTTGAGGCCATTGACGTAGTACACATTCTCAATTGAGTGAGTGAGTGATTTCCCAATTTTTCCAACTCCAACAATGTACCCCTTTTTCCCATTGCCAAATGATACACTCCCTCCTTGCAGGGCTTTTAGTGAAAGAAAGTCCATGGTGTTCCTAGTCATGTGCTTTGAACATCCACTATCCATGAACCATTGTTGACTACTTCCTTTCATTGTTCCCGGCACAAGGAAATCAAGATTTAGTTTTAGGAACCCAAGCAAGTTTGGGTCCCTTGTAGTAGGCAAGAGGATGAATAAGAGCTCTTTTAGTCCATGCAGGTAACATGCATTTTTTATGGGTGGCACCTGGTCCCTTTTCAGTAGTTACTTTTTCAGCAAACACTTTGTTTTTCTGAAGAGACTGGACCCTAGCTTGGCAATTTTCTATGAAATGCCCATTGTTCCCACAATGGGTACAAAGCCAATTATCCGGTACAATAACATACTTGCTATGGGGTTGTAAGGAGTTCTCTCCCTTTGAAACCCTATTCCCTGCCCGTTTCCACTATTATTAACATACATGGCAGTAATAGCTTTCGAGGACCACGTCCACTTAAGGGACTTCTCAAGATCATTTTTTACTCTTTCTAGTTCTGCTTGGAGCTGCCTATTTTTCTCAAGTTCAGCACACAAACTAGTTCTCAGAGCATTTAACTCGTTTTCAAGCTTAATGTGTGCCTCACTAGCTACCTCTTTCCTTTTATCAGAATTTCCAGGCCTACACTCAGCTCCAAGTTCCTATATAGTTTCGCTCAAGTGTACAATCCCTATTAAGAGGTAATCTCTCTCCTCCTCAATAGTATTCACTCTCTCCACTAAAGCATCTATCTTTACTTAAATTCTCAATGATTTCTTTTAAGTCAACGACTACAACCACCAAATCATCTCTTTCATGTTCTATACTAGCAATTTTTTCAGTTAGAACCATTTTTTCATTCTCTAAATTGCTTATGGTTTCCTTCAGATCAACTACACACACTACCAAATCATCTCTAGTTTGTTCAGCTTCTCCTAGTTCTAAGGTCAAGGCATCTTTATCCTCTACAAGACTATGATAGGCATCAATTAATACACTTGCTAATGACATGAATTTCTTAGGGGAGTAAGATTTCAGATTTCTCTGAACATCCCTGAAGTTTACCTCATCATTGTCATCATCTTCATCATTGTCTGATTGTGCCATCAAAGCGAATATTGAATCATATTCATTTCTTTAAATTTCAACTGCCATCATAGAACTATCACCTGCACTAGTTTCTTCCTCAGACTCACTGGAGGAATCTCCCCGTGCTGCAAGAGCTTGCTTCACAACATTATCAGCAAATCTTTTCCTTTTGAAATGTTTGTCAGGAACCGGGTTCCTCTTTGCTGTTTTATCAGGGTTGTATTTGAAGTGTTCTTGCTTCAGGAGAGGGCAATCTTTGATGAAATGCCCTAGCTTTCCACACTTATGACAGAGGTCATAATTCTTTGGTCGGCTAGTGGTGCCCCTTTTTGGTATCCCTCCATTTCTTCCGACCATCTTCTGAAACCTTTTGGTTAAGTAAGCCATGTCACTGTCCTCCTCACTTGAGTCATTGCTTTCAGCTTCGAGTACCAGGTTCTTCTTCTTATTTGGTTCTCTGCTTTCACTTTCTACCTTCTTCTTCATTTTGTAGGTTTTCAGATTTCTAATTAGCTCATCTATGGTCAGCTCCTGCAGGTCCTTTGCTTCAGTGATAGCATTCACCTTACTTTCCCATAAACTAGGTAGGATAATAAGAATTTTCCTCACGAGCTTGTTCCTGGGAATGACTTCACCGAGTGAGTGTAGTTCATTTATGATGGAAGTGAATCTTGTATGCATGTCTTGAATAGATTCATCGTCCTTCATCCTAAAGAGCTCATACTCGGTGGTAAGCATGTCAATCTTAGATTGCTTTACTTGAGTGATTCTCTCGTGTGCTGTTTGCAAAGCTTCCCATATTTCCTTGGCGGATTGACAAGCTGAGATCATGTTGTATTCATCAGGTCCTATGCCACACACCAAAATTTTCTTGGCACAAAAATTCTTCTCCAGAGCTTTCCTATCTGCATCGTTGTATTCTTTCCAGGTCTTTGGCATCGTCACTGGAGGGTCTCCAACCTTCTTTGTTGGGACATATGGACCATCACATATAACATCCCACAACTCAGAGTCTTCTGCCATGATAAAATCATGCATTCTTGTCTTCCACCACCCATAGTATTGCCTATTGAACCTGGGTGACCTATACGTAGACTGACCTTCTTCAAAATTTGGTGGAGCAGCCACAATGATCCTTCCTAGGTGTTAGCCTGATAGAAAGAACCCGCTCTGATACCAATTGATAGAATATATGAGTCCACCAAACTATATAGAGACCAGGTCCTCTATGAGTTTCCACTGAGAAGCTAATAAAACAGTAAGTAAATAAGACAAGGAGTTTTTATGTGGGAAAATCCCTGCTCAAGGGGATTAAAAACCATGACCTACACTGGTAGGATTTCAACTTCACTATGAGAAACTTTTAGATTACAACCTATGCAATCTAGGAATTAAACTCTTAATCACTCACTAACTTGTAATACACCTATTACAAGCCACTTTGCAATACACCTATTACAAAGACTTCAACTCATGACTAACTCTAGTCACGACACAAATACTAAGGGTTTTGGGTTTTACAAGGGGGTTCCTAAGCAACGCTTCTAGATAAGCAAATTAGGAATTACAATGAAGAATAATTACAAAGTTACAACTCAACTAAGGACAACAAGATACTAGATTTAGGAACTGGTCCGTAGTAGTGTTAAACTTTGTTCTTGATGCACTTGAGAATTGAATGCTTGATCAGTGAACAGTTGGAGTGCTTGAATGCTCAAGTTGATTCTCAAGTGTTCAAGTAATGTTTTGTTGTAGTGCACTTGTTAATACAACATAGATGACATCACTTGAGTGATGTAATCACTTGGTAGGTCGAATTAGAAGTGACTGCAGAACCTGCACTGCACTGTTTCTGTGTACAGTGCAGGCAGTCACTTTCCTGTGTAGACAGTTGACTTCGTACTGCTGTCAGGGAAACACAAGGGTATCAGGTATCTGTGTTGATTCTCTATCTTCTGAAGTCGTAGTAGTTCTCATTAGCTGGAATCCGTTTATTTGAGTTGAGTACCAAATGAGTCAGGTTCCTTATCTGGCTCTTTGACAGTAAGTTTGTTAGATCATCAAAACACAAAGCTAAGGCATTGTAAATCCATCAATCCTCCACTATTAGAGGAATTTGGGGTGCCAGGCTGGATGACTGTGCTGCAACAGCACTGGATAAGTCAGACAGCTTTGTAGTGGCTGTCTGCATCTAGTTGTTGAGGCTTGCCACTGTCTGGGAGACTCACAGCGCAGATAATGGATGAGTGGGCGTGGGCACCGACTTCAAAGCCGAGGTGGAAGGCACTGATGCTGAAGGATCTTAAGAAGGAGGTGGAGGCATGGCACCTGCACTGGCAGAAGGCACTGCTGAAGTGGAAGGCATATCTGCTGACCTTGCAGCTACCACCAAAGGCTCATTAGACTGCCCTACGGTAGTAGTCGGCTGACCCTTTTTCTTCCGGTTCCTCGGGTCCATCAGAGAATACCAAGAGAAAGGCTTCTTTGCCCGAACCTTGGTGTCAAAGTCCCTCGGCTCCAACCCTGCATCCGTAAGGTACTCAGTGATAGTGTTGGGATACGGGTAGGAGGTATTAGCTTGACTGGCAACCACATACATGTTGGCCGACATCACGACACCCACATTGATTGGGTACCCAGCCATGATAGAGGCTACTAGTACTACCCGCTGAATATGGAGATTTGTTTCATTCTGGCATAGATCTAGTCTGTTGCATACGAAAGTTTGCCTTCCCTTTGCATCAAAGTTCAGGGTATTCCTGTGAATAGAAACCCCTGCTGTGATCCATGGTGGTAGTGGTCCCAGGGCAGCAAGAATATCATCTAGCCATGGGCGAGCTGCATCTCCCATAGCCAGCTTTTCAAAATACTGCACAGTTTCAACATCCTCAAACCCTGAGTAGGTGTTCAAGGTTGATGGGTTTACAGTACCTTAGCTTTATGTTTTGATGATCTAACAAACTTACTGTCAAAGAACCAGATAAGGGACCTGACACACTTGGTACACAACTCAATCAACAGACTCGAGCTAATGTGAGTTTCTATGACTTCAGAAGATAAAGAATCAACACATGGACCTGATCCCCTTGTATTTCCCTGATAGCAGTACGAAGTCAACTATCTACAGCTGGAAAGTGACTGCCTGCACTGTACACGTAAACAGTGCAGCACAGTACTGCAGTCACTCCCTTTTGACCAAACAAGTGATTACATCATTCAAGTGATGTCATCCAAGTTGTATTAACAAATATTATTATAACAAATCATCACTTGAACACTTGAGAACTCATTCAAGCACTCCAATCGTTCATAGTCAAGCATTCAATTCTCAAGTGCAATCAAGAACAAAGTACAACACTACTACAGACCAGTTCCTACAACAAGTATTTTGTATGTCCTTAGTTGAGTTGTAATTTTGTAATTGTTCTTCATTGTAATTCCTACTTTTCTTATCTAGAAGCTTTAATTAGGAACCCCTTGTAAACCATAAACCTTCAGTATTTGTGTTGTGACTAGAGTTAGTCATGAGTAAAAGTCTTTGTAATAGGTGTATTGCAAAGTGGCTTGTAATAGGTGTATTACAAGTTAGTGAGGGATTAAGAGTTTAATTCCTAGATTGCATAGGTTGTAATCTAAAGTTGCTCATAATGAAGTTGAATTCCTACCAGTGTAGGTCATGGTTTTTATCCCCTTGAGCAGGGATTTTTCCACGTAAAAGTTCCCTGTTCCATTTACGGTTTCATTAGCACTACTAGTGGAAACCTATAGAGGACCTGGTCTATATATAGTTTGGAGGACTCATATATTCTATCAATTGGTATTAGAACGGGTTCTTTCTATCAGGTTAACACCTAGAAAGGATCCTTGTGGCTGCTCCACCAAATTTCAAAGAGGGTCAATCTACATACAGACCACCTAGGTTCAATGGGCAATACTATGGGTGGTGGAAGACAAGAATGCATGATTTTATCGTGGCAGAAGATTCTGAGTTGTGTGATGTTATTTGTGATGGTCCTTATGTCCCAACGAAGAAGGTCGGAGACCCTCCAGTAACGATGCCAAAAACCAGAAAAGAATACAACGATGCAGATAGAAAAGCTGTGGAGATAAACTTTCATGCCAAGAAAATTTTGGTGTGTGGCATAGGACCTGATGAATACAATAGGATCTCAGCCTGTCAATTTGCAAAAGAAATATGGGAAACTTTGCAAACAGCACACGAGGGAACCACTCAAGTAAAGCAATCTAAGATTGACATGCTCACCACTGAGTATGAGCTCTTCAGAATGAAGGACGATGAATCCATTCAAGACATGCACACAGGATTCACTTCCATCATAAATGAGCTACACTCGCTTGGTGAAATCATTCCTAAGAACAAGCTCGTGAGTAAAATTCTCAGTGTTTTGCCCAGTTCATGGGAGAGTAAATTGAATGCCATTACTAAAGCAAAGGATTTGCAGGAGCTGACCATAGATGAGCTAGTTGGAAATCTGAAAACCTACGAAATGAAGAAGAAGAAGGACAGTGAAAGAAGAGTACCAAAGAAGGAAAAGAACCTGGTACTCAAAGCTGAAAGCAATGACTCAAGTGAGCAGGACAGTGACATGGCTTACTTAACTAGAAGGTTTCAGAAAATGGTCAGAAGAAATGGAGGGATACCAAAGAGAGGCAGTTCCAGCAAACCAAAGAATTATGACCTTTGTAAATATGGAAAGCCAAGGCATTTTATCAAGGATTGTCCTCTCCTAAAGCAAGAACACTTCAAGCACAAATCTGATAAAGCAGCCAAGAGGAACCCGGTTCACGACAAACACTTCAAAAGAAAGAATGCAGCTGACAATGTACTGAAGCAAGCTCGTGCAGCATGGGGAGATTCCTCCAGTGAGTCTGAAGAAGAAAGTGATGCAGGTGATAGTTCCATGATGGCAGTTGAAAGTGAAGCATATAAATATGATTCAATATTTGCTTTGATGGCTCAATCAGACAATGATGAGGTAAACTTTAGGGATATTCAGAGAAATCTGAAATCCTACTCTCCTAAGAAACTCATGTCATTAGCAAATGTGTTAATGGATACCTATCATAGTCTTGTAGATGATAACTGTGCCTTAACCATAGAGTTAGGAGATGCTGAACAAACTAGAGATGACTTGGTAGTTTGTGTGGTTGATCTGAAGGAAACCTTAAGTAATCTGGAAAATGAAATGGTGGTTCTAATTGAAAAAATTGCTAGTATAGAACATGAAAGAGACGATTTGACCTAAAAAAAACCATTGAAAATTTCAGTAAAGAAAAGAATGACTTAGCGGAGAAAATTGATGCCTTGAGCAAGAAAGAGATGACCTCTTAGTTGTGATTATAGATTTGAAGGAAACAATAGAGGAACTCAAAGCAGAATGTCGTTCTGGAAACTCTAATAAAGGAAAATGTGTTTCTAGGGAAGCACATATCAGGCTAGAAAATGAATTAAATGTTGTAAAAACCAGTTTATGTGCTGAACTTGAGAAAACTAGACAACTTCAAGCAGACTTGGAAAGAGTAACAAATGACCTTGAAAAGTCTCTTAAGTGGACCTGGTCCTCAGATGCTATTACTGCCATGTATGTTAAGAATGGTGGAAACAAGCAGGGAATAGGGTTTCAAATGGAGAGAACCCTTATAACCCTCATAGCAAGTATGTTACCGTACCCGATAATTGGCTGTGTACCCACTGTAGGAACAATGGGCATTTTAAAGAAAATTGCCAAGCCAGGATTCAGTCTCTTCAGAAAAACAAATTTTTTGCTGAAAGAGTAACTGCTGAAAAGGGACCAGGTGCCACTCATAAAAAACGCATGTTACCTGCATGGACTAAAAGAGCACTTATTCATCCTCTTGCTTATTACAAGGGACCCAAACTTGCTTGGGTTCCTAAATCTAACCCTTGATTTCCTTGTGCAGGGAACAACGAAAGGAAGCAACCAACAATGGTTCATGGACAGTGTATGCTTAAAGCACATGACTGGGAACACCATGGACTT